CGAGGTATGAGCACAATGCCTCGTGTTGTGAAGAGAAAATTGCAAAAAATAAAGTCAGTTGTTGAGTACAATAAAAGGGGGAAAGGATGTGGCCCTGCACATACTGAGATGCAGTCCTACATTGGTGTGTTGGCACGCTCCAGAGTCCCTCTTTCGGACAAGAAATGGGCTGAAATCCCCAATGATATAAAGGAGCAGATTTGGGAAGCCGTTGACATGGCTTTTGTGGTAGGTCAAGGGGGCAAGACCTCGGTGTTATCTTCTGCTGCCAAGAAATGGAAGGATTTCAAGTCTACACTGACGAGGCATTATATCCTTCCATACATCAAGGAGAGGGAGAAATTAAGCCAACCCCCTGAAGTATATAAATTCATAGAGAAAGCAGAATGGGATGCCTTTGTAGCTTCAAGGTTATCCAAAGAATTTGAGTCTGTGCATTCTCAACATTCACAGAGTAGGGAGAAACTTGAGTACAATCATCGATTGTCTCGAAAAGGATATGCTGGTTTGGAGGATCAATTGGAGGAAACCATGCCTGGGGTAGAAATTGATCGATCTACCTTATGGAAGAAAGCTAGACAGGACAAACATGGTAACATCCCAGATCCAAAGGTGGCAGAGAAAGCAAAATTAATTGTAAGCATACACACTCTGTTTTAAATTTTTATTAAACTGTGTATATATAATTCTTATTACGTCTAATGTTATATTTTTTCGTCGTGTCAATGATTTTACTACGTCGAAATATTTTAAAAAACGTCGTGAAGATCTAAATCTGGAAACTTTGTTTTCTGTAATTATAGCATAAGACGTCGGTGGTTAATTTTTGCGTCGTGTGAATGATATTACTACGTCGAAATATTTTAAAAAACGACTTTAAAGGTCTAAATTAGAATCACTGCTATGTTTTCTGTAATTATAGCATAAGACGTCGGTGGTTTATTTATTGCGTCGTTTGAAACAACTAACCGCGTCGTTATTTAAGTAACGTCGTTATAAATATATTATAACATCGATTTATATGTTATTGCATCGTGTGAAATTATATAATACGTCGTTTGTTTATAAATAACCGTCGTATGTTTTCTTGTGCTGACTTTTTTATATGTCTTTGTTTTAGGATGAATTGCAAAAACAAGTGGCTGAAGGCAGTCTTAGTGTAACTGGCAGTAATGATGTGTTGACCTTGGCTTTGGGTCCCGAGCATCCAGGGAGAGTAAGAGGGGTAGGTGCTGGGATTTCCCCTAGGCAATTCTTCAATTTACCTAGACAACAGAGAGTAAAGTTTGCCGATCAATTGAAGGAAAGTGTAAGAATTGTCCTTCAAGAAGAGACTAAGAAGATGGAAGCTATATCAAGGGAAGAGACTTCAAGGATGGAGGCTAGAACCAAGCAATTGGTAGAGGCTACTGAGAGGGAACATATACTAAGTCAGCTTTCCCAACTCATCCCCAATTTTGATCCAAGCATGCTTAAACTGAAAACTAGCCCCTGTCAAAACCAAGGTCTAGAGCAAAGTCCCAAAAATCCAATGTCTGACAAAGCAAGCTGCTCTGGGGCTGATGTGAGATCCCTACATTTAGAGGATGATACTGCCAAAAATGGGGAACAGCAGGAAGAAACGGTAACATATCTGAACTTTGAATTCTCTGTTTTTTAAAAAACTATTAGACGTCGTTATTATGAAGAAAACCGTCGTTTTAAAATCATACCACAACGATTTTATAAATAAACCGTCGTTTGTATTTCAATACCATGTCGTATTTAGTTTACTTGTTTTACACGCCATTAGACGTCGTACTTTGTGGTTTTTAGACGACGGTTTTAGTCCTTACCGACGTAATAGACAAATCCCACGACGTTTATTATTTACCATCGTTTAATAATTT